ACTTCTATTCTTGCCCCCTACCCATTGTGTATTAGCATCCACATATTAGAGAGAACATTTGGCCTTTGGTTTTTGGGATTGGCTTATTTCACTTAGCATGATAGTCTCCTATGCAAATGGCATTTTAAATCATGAAATTGAATGAGATCACTTATGATTAGAGTGTACATGGAGGAGAGAAGAGTGTTTGAACTCTAAGATACTCCAATCTCAAGAATTCGGAGGAGTCAAGGAGAAACCAGGAAAGAAGACTGAGAGTACCAGTGAAGTAGAATGAAAAGCAGGTCTACTAGATCTGGCTTCCAAAATGTCTTCAGAATACACAAAATATTCCTATATCAGAACCTGACAACTGGTTTATTCCAGTCAATTGCCTTTCAAAAATTACAGTGACTGGCTGGACTATTACCATACAAATGTCCTGCTACCAGATGCACTCTGTGTGTCCGTTAGTAATTCTGTTTCTCTCTTTCTCTCTCCACATGGTATTCAGTTTGTAAAGTTTAATTAGATACTTTTGAGAATACATATTAATACCATGTTTAGAGGTTGATATATTTATAAATTAAATATGAAGGTTTAGAATGGAGCAGAAAATTCAGTTGTTTTATTAAGCAATAGAAATTATGGTTTTAGAATATTTGACAGTTTTATATTTTGAATATCCTTGGTGGTGAAAAATTGCTTTCCTTTTGAGTATGGATTTAACTCTTGACAATATCTATAGTCATTTGTATGTTGGTGAGTAGAATGAAAATTGGTAAATCTATAAAACATTCTAGAAAGTAATTTGGCATTATATACTAAAAGCCTTCATTTTTATATACACATTGACAGAATAATTTTGCTGACAGAAATTTATTCTAAAGAAATAGTCTTAGCTATGTGCAAAGATTTTTTTATGGTATTGTTCATAATGGTGAGATGTGGGAAGCAATCTGAATAGTATTGTGTTTGAAAACAGAAGTGTTGAGATATTACTTCTACATGATATATAGGGCCATTAGTGCTCATTATTATAGAAAATATCAAATGAGACAAAAAGTAGTGAAAAGGGAGATATAAAGCAGTATGTGAAAAACTAAATATACACCTAAATGGGAACATACATATATACAAAAGATGAATATGTTTGAAAATGCTAAGATTTATTCCTAGATAATGGAATTGAGAATAATTTTCTTTATCTTATGTTTTCTAAGTGAATTATTCTCTTTATCGTACATATTTTTTTCTAAGTGTTCTAATGTGAACATATGTTAATTTTGAAACCAGAAAAGTGAAACTTTGACAGAAGATAGAATCATGTATACTTTACACATATGTGTATTTGTTAATTTGGGTATTCAGTCTTTGCAAATAGTAAAATTGTAACAGGAATTATAAAATCATTTGGAATAGTAGCAACATCATTGACATAAGTGAATAGCTTCCCAAAGAGAATAATTTGAAAGGTAAGACTGATTTGGATTTGGAAGATCTGAGAATTTTTGTGAGGTTTGGGGTCTATTATAAAATAAGTTATAATTTATGTAGTAAAATGCAAAGATATTAAGTATATGTAGTTCAAAAAGTTTTGACAAATGTGTACATTTATATAACCAACACTCAAAATCAAAATGTAGTTGATATAAAAAAATTATTTTCTCTAGATATTGTCATACCTTTAATAATTTTCCAAAGCAATGTAGAGGATAATTTCTCTTCATTGATATGTGGGATCTTGTGCCTTGGTCTCACTGTCTCATGGAATGTATGGCACTAAGTCAGAGGCAACTCATGTGGGCCTTCAGTGATAACATCCTGTTTGCCCTGTTGGTTTTGTGGGTTGTCCAGCTTAACAGAGGCTGAAAATGCCTCCTCTCTGAAAAGGCAGCATTTCCCAGGTGCTTGCCTAATTCTAGTCAAGCAGGTCTGTCCTTTAGCAGGGCCAGAGGTATAGGTCTTACAGGAATTCCTACCAAGGAATTGCATGCAGATTGCATTCACTTGCTACCTTCTATTTCCCATCTCCTGTTTATTAAAAAAGAAAAGAAAAAAGAAAAACTGTCTTTTTAAAAATTTTGTATCTTATTGGGGAATCTTGTCAATTGAACAGTTGTTTCTTTCCACGTACTTCTCTTTAAACCAGGAATTTTTATTGTACCAACGTTTTATCTTTTTTGAGTTCTTGCAGGACAAAATAAAGAGAGACTAAGTTAATACACAATTTTCTGGAAATCCCCAGACTTTCCTTACATAGAAAAAGGCACAACTGTATTGGTAAAGCTACCTTCTACATAGAGGTTACAAAATCTGTCAGTATATCTCACCTGGACCTACTATGAATGGGAAAGACAGCTTTATTCCATGTACAGGCCAGGAAACCAAAGCTCAGGAAGATTAGATGACTGAGACCAAGCCCTGAAACAAGTCAATGGGGAGACGACATTCAAACCCTCACCTTGGAACTGGGTGCCTCCACAGAAACCACAGTTTAGCCATGTTGTAAAAACTGTGTTCTGTTGTTTTCCCCAGTAGCTTATAAACTCCTTGTATCTTCCAGTTCCTGCTTTGCTTTTGGATCCCCAGCACCTAATCTGGCACTTGGCATGGAATAAATGCTTAAAAAAAAGTTTGTTGAATGACAAAATGAAGGAAAGAAATAAAGACTTTGGATTCCCACCCCAGGGAAAACTGTCTTTCTAAAAACTATTTCCCTCATCCTTTGAATAATATATAGAATACTTGAGTTGTCAAGTTTGAATGGCCTGGTTTTGGACCAGGAGAGGAATAAATAAGAACTCCCTTCTTTTTGTCTTTATCTAGGGTCCTCCAGTGATTTCTGACTTATTAGACCAGAGGGATGGTTGTATATCCCAACATATCTCTGAAGCTGTTTCGTGGGACCACCTTTTGCCAGACTATTCTGAATCACGAGTGTCAACCCTACTTGCACAAAACTTAAAGAAAGCTTTTTTTTCTAGTATTGAGACCCTGGGAAGCATCCCATCCATTTTCTGCAGTAATTCCAGATACTTTCAACCCATGTGGCTCTGAGTAGCAGTTTCACATTATTGTTGGGCTTTTATTTCTTGTTTCATTTAAAAGACCTCCTGACAGTGTCATTTAGTCATCCTAGTAGTTTCTGCAGCCAAGAGGTCTTCTGGAATATGGAATAACAATAGTAATTTATCCTCAGGGATTAAGTTAAGCACTTTCATGGCTTATCTTATTTAATTCTTAAAACCAACCAGTGAAATTATTGGTATTATTTTGGCTCTCTTTTGTAGACAAAGTAATTGAAGCTAAGAAAGGATAAGAATTTATAGATTGTTGGGGCTAGGATTGTGGCTCTGTGGTAGAATACTCGTCTAGCACATGTGAGGGACTGAGTTTAAGTCTCAGCACCACACAAAAAAATAAATTAATAAATAAAACAAAGGTATTGTATCCACCTATAACTAAAAAAAATTGTTTTTTAGAATTATAGATTGTAAATAATGATGCTGAAATTCCGACCCAGGTGACCTGACTATAGTAATTATGCTCCTCAGAGCTGTACTATATTTTCTCCCCAAATTAATCCCTTCCATTTGTTTGTTCTTGAAATTATTATGTGTGATTGGTGTTAACTTGCCCTTGAGAAGTCCCATAACTCACCTTCTGTTCTATGGTGTGTGTCTCAAGAGAGCTACACCTAGCAGAATCTGGCCTTCTAAGAGGCCAGAGGTGTTGATGACTCCTGGCTAAAATACCTATCCTTGATCCTGCTTCTAGTTGGTACCCAAGGTTTCTGACATAAGGTAAAGAATTGGGTCCCACAGCCTTCAACATGCATACACTGCCAAATAATTTCCATGCTTCTCTGCAGTTTCTGTGGAATACGTAGCTACAATAGTTTCACTTCTCTGTCAAGAGATCCTCTACCCCGAAAATGGTGCATTACATTCAGTTATCACTGATCTCTCTTCCTTCATTTAGCTGCAGCAAAAACTCTTGATTATTCTTCCTAAGATAACTTGATAAAGTCTGAATCAACCCTGATTTTATTTAGGAGAAGTCTTCCTTTTATGCAACGTGGCTCTGAGCTTCAAGAAGACATGAATTAGGTTAATTATCCTTAGCAACAAGAAAAATATTAGGAACTCCGTAAATTTTGATGAATGATGAAATGATAATTACCCTGTGTACCCTCCATATGGGAATCTCAGGTGTTGATGACCTAGAATGGTCTTAATGCCACTAGAGACTACAAAGTAACCTCTAAGGAACTAAATGGCCCTCTGCTCTCCTTAATGACTTGTAAGTGGCCACTCTGCAATCACTTAATGGGAAAGGACAGGCTTTCATGCTGCATCCTATAAACCCAGACCTTGTCCTGAACAAAGGCAGGCACTTAGGAACTTGGAGAATGACCAAATAATGGCATCCACACTTAAGAAGTAGTTGGGTAGAGAATGCCCTGCTCCCATCACCCCCAAGAGACTTGAAGCACTTGCCTAGAGTGAGGAATATTTCCTTTGACAAAGTTAGTGCAGCCCTTACATTTCCATCTTCCCTCACTTGACATTACTCTGGGTCTGGATATTTACTTCGTTCAATGGACTGGAACTTGTAACCCTTCCTGAGAGATCTGTGGTGTTTTCAGGTTACCTTATAGGATTTATATTGCTTTATTTATCACAGTACTGCCTTCCAAATGAGCAGATGTATTTCTTTCTACAACACACACTTAGATTTCATTCTTATCCAGCTGTCATTTGTACTCCATACAGGGCAAGTGCTTGTATGGAATTTCAGGAATATATTCTTTTTGACCTCCTTTGTACCTGCATGAGTATGTACACACATACATATTGGCTTGTTCTATGGGATCAGATTATGTCTGGGCAGGTGATAATTTGTTGATGAAACTGTTATTATAAATTGTTAACAAATACAGAATTCTTTTTTCAGTTCAAACACAGGAAAATGTATCTGGTGCTAAATAGTTCTTTCTTTCTTTTTTATTTTTCCAGGCAAGAAAGCTAATCAGTGACTTTGCCATTATCTTGTCCATTCTCATATTTTGTGTAATAGATGCCCTTGTAGGTGTGGACACTCCAAAACTAATTGTGCCAAGTGAGTTTAAGGTGAGTGTTTATCTTTTGCTTGTTTCTTGAATTCTGATATTTTGCCTTTCCCATGTTCTAGTTTATTGTGTGTCTCAGTTAATTTTGTATAATTATCCATTCCTTTCAAAAAAGCAGTTCTTTGTTAGACTCATTTATACAGTTAGTCATTATACTGACTTCACTAAAATGCCAAGACTAGGATCAAATGCAAGGTTCATATTGAATTGATCTTTATTTTAAAGTAATGGATAACATTATAGACCCAGCTTGTATTTTTAGAATATTTTAAAATACCTGAATTATTTTCGTATACTTTATCATCTTAATTCATGCAATAATTCTAGGAAGTGTGCAACATAACTAACATCATTCTTATTTTATAAAGTTGAGATTGAAGCTCATGAAAAATAAGTAAAATGTCCATGGTTAACTAGTGGTATCAAGGATTGAAGTTAAAACTAAGTCTCAGGACTCCTAATTCAATTTTCATAGTATCTAACTACCTGCCAAACACATTTGTATATAATGTGAATTTTAATTATTACAAAAAAAGAATAAGAATTATTTATTTTGCAAACTTATTGGTATATCCAGGTATACTGGACAAAAACTACATTTTAGCCATTATTAAATATGTCACTAGCTAATTTTCTGTTGTAAGTCTCTTACCTATTTTCTAGAATAATCCTCACTCTCTGCACTGTTGAGATCGTATATGTGCTAAGAAATATTAAATTGACTGCAGTTTTAGTATAATAACAACTTAATAAAGAAAGGATATATATGGTGCAGCAAACAATATTTTGGGCATTATCTGCCATCACATATTTATCAGCAAAGATAAGTTCTCATTCATTCAACCATTAATTCAATATTTATTAAATGTTGGCTTTGAGCTAGGCTTTATAAGGGGGATTTTAAATGCATTAATGAGCAAGACAAAGTACTTTCCCTTATGAACTCACAACCTGTTAAATGTGGGAAACGTGGATACATTCAGTGATAGAGTTATGAGCAAGGGTGTCCAAAGATAGAAATAGCCTCAGAAAAAATGTGAGACTTTCTTCATTGATAGAAAACCTAGAGAAAATAATTCATAAGACAGTATTCTAGTTCATTTCATTATTTGAATTGTTTAAAATAAGGAAGCATAGGAAATTTTTTTTCTGAAATAGACATGTATGATCTGACAGAAAATAGACCAAGAACTGGAAAAAATGACCTTTTTTTTCCTTCAGTTTTCTGTGATATGTATAAGGATTTAAGTAGTTCTTCTGGATCAATTTTAAATATGAAATGAAAGATTAGGATATTTAATTCAGTTCAATTACAAAATATTTAAAGCTTTTTATATATGATGAAGCTATTATGATTTGGTAGTAGTAAAAACAACTTCATTATAATTGCTAAAACCCAAGATCAAAACTCATGATGATTCTCTAAGTTCTTCATTATAATTGCTAAAACCCAAGAGCAAAACTCATGATGATTCTAACTTTTTACTGAATATTACATTTGGGGTTATCTCCTGGATCCCTGTAAAATTTAAATCACTTTTTCTATCTTGAGTCCTTATCTGAAATCACCCCAAGTCCATACAGTGGTATCCCCTGCTTTCCCAACAACCCATATTCTTTATTTCCTGCCTTTAAACATAACCTTTAAAATAAAATTCTTTAGAAAGATTTTTGGTAAAAAATTTCCTTTATCCAGCCTGGTTTGTATATATATCCTCCACTGATTTTTTTTCCACTGAGTAGTATGTAGTAACTTGATATTGTTTTGAAAAATATTCTCTTTCTACTTTAAGCCAACAAGTCCAAACCGAGGATGGTTTGTCCCACCGTTTGGAGGGAACCCTTGGTGGGTTTACCTTGCTGCTGCCATCCCTGCTTTGTTGGTCACCATTCTGATTTTCATGGACCAACAGATCACAGCTGTGATTGTAAATAGAAAAGAACATAAACTCAAGGTAAGTGCCTATAATAATGGTTATCTGCCTTCTACAGTTTTTGTAGTGCTTGATGACATTTATTGATTTCAAAAACCAAGAGAGTTTTATTGGGCGTTAAACCATAGCCAGTGTTCCTTAAGACTTTACAGTCATAGAGCCTCTTGTATTGACATGGGTCCTCAATATAACTCTTTAGGGAAAATCATTTAAATCAGAAAGTAGTGTTTCAAATTATGTTTTAGTCACGACCAAAGAGTGACAGTGAACAACAGTCCTTAGCCATAGTCATCCTAATTCAAGTTTTAATGTGGTAACTGCCTGTAGTGAAGATGGTGTCATTTAAAGATTTGGTGAACATCTACTGAGAACCTGCTCTGTATTACTCTGTTAAACCAACTCAAAATTATTCTTTTTTTTTTCATTCAAAAAATATTTTAGGGATTGGGAATGTAGCTCAGTGGTACAGTACTTTTCTGTTATACATAAAACCCTGGATTCAGTCTCTAGGAATACGCACACACACACACACACACACACAATTGTGCATAGTTATTGGTTTCAGTGTGGTAATTTGGTATGTGTATATCCTGCTGAGTGATCAAATCAGAGTAATTATCATTTCTACCTCTTTAAACATTTATCATTTCTTTGTGTTGGGAATCTTCAAAGTTTTATTCTTAAAGATTATTCAGGTAGTTCATGTTTATAAGCTCTTGGTAAACATTTATATTTTTTGTCTTCCCACATTTGTCTCAGAATGTTACTGACCATCAAGTATAGAGAAAGATGCTTTATTTTGTACATTCTAGCTTTTTTTTAAATTAGTTACTAACTTTGTCATGAGTCTAAGAAGAGAAAATGCATTAGTTGTCTAGGATATCTTTCATGAGAACTGCCTAAAATGTTCTTATAATATCCATCTCATGATTTCTTTAGGCCATGAAAGATTTCAAAAATGCCATTTGGGGAAGTGAGATATGAATAATAACTCTAATAAGAGCTCTAATTTGGTGGATGTCTATTATGAGTCAGGCCATGTTCTAATCACTTTATGTTATATATTAATTCATTAACCTTTTTCATAACTACCAAATAAGGGAAGCATAAAAATGCATTAAAATCAGTCACCCAGAATCAGGAGAGGAAATTATAATGAATTGAATTCAACAGAGAAGATGTAGTAAAAGGAAAAATACAAAAAAAATGTAAAAGAATTGTTTGACTATGAAACCCACAGGGTGGAGAAATAAGAAAGATGAGGAGTGTTATGATAAACTTCCCAGTTAGAACTTGGATCACAGTGAGAAAGGAGTTAATCCCATAATAAGAAGACTAGGAGAAGAAGAAAACTAAGAGCTTGGGTCAAAGAGGAGAGAAGTTTAGATTTTGAAAGTTTGGGAGGAGAGAAATCTGAGAGTGATGAGCTGATCCAAAGTGTGCAACTAGCTCCTGAAGCACACCGGAGAGGACATTGGGGTGTTGGGAGTCCAGGGTGTTGAAAGTCTCATTTGCATCAGTGTTGATATCATTGGACAGCACAGAGAGTGGTCAAGAGGAAGATCCTGGATTAGATGCTAAAGTCATAAGGCGGGTATGTACTGATGTACCTATCCTGGACATAAGCACATTTAGTGATATGGAATGTTAGAAGGGAGCAGAACTTGGGCTTTAAGAGAAGAGAGATAGTTTGTGGAATCATGAAAATAAGTAACATGTACACCACCTGATATAGGAAGTTAGAATAGTAGACTTCCACTAAAAAAAAGAAACATCTTCAGGGAATCACTGGTACAAAAGGAAAATACTGGTGTTCAGTTATTATCAAAGAAAAGTTTGAGAATTCGTTTGGAAACTTAGATTAAAATGACTCTCCTTCTACCCTTTGCCATAAGCAAATACTGTCCTGCCTTAAGATAGTTTTAATTCTAAGAGTGTTGTTTAGCTGCTTATGTATTTATGCCTTGCCCCCAACTGGACAGTCAGGACATAATTCATATATTCACTGAATGCCTTGTTACAGTGCCTGGCTGTCTACCTCATATTATTCTAAGCAAAGGTATTCATTCTAGGGGCAATTAGTAAACAGATGAGGGCAATTCTTTAGTCTTACCATCTTGTTTTCTGTTGCTCAGGATTTTATGCCTGTGTTTGTTGTTCTTCAGGAAAATGATTTTTTATAAAAATCAGTAAATTACTTTTTAGCATTTTATCACCCAGTGAGTTTCAAAAATTGTTTTTAAATTACAAGGTTATTAAGAATCATGAAATTCTTCTGTACCTTAACAATTCAGCTGTTATGGGGGAAAATAACAGAAGATGGCATCTTTTCTTTATGAAGATCTTCTTGCATTTCTATCTTTCTTTTTTGGACTAGTCTCCTTTAGACTGAACTATCTCCTATATACAGTAATTACCTATCAGGACTTAAAAACTTTTCCCCACTATGGTCTTCAGGTACTAAATTCACTCATTTTTGTTTGACTAGGATGTTTTTGTTTCACCCTCATTTGGAAAGGTAGTTCTCTGGATAAGTGATTTTAAGTTGAGATATTTCACTACTTAAAAGCTTTTTTTCATTATTTTTGACTTCCATAAAAGTGGTATGTATGTTGCTATAATTTTCATTGCTTTATAAATAATCTGTCTTTTCTTTTTGCCAATCTATGGTTATTTTTTGTCTTTGTTTTAGAGTTTCACTACAATTTGTATAGGCATAGGTTTTATTATATGTTGGATTTATTTAGTTTATTGAATCCAAAGATTAGCATCTTTTATCATTTGTAGAATTTTGTATATCTTTGACCCATTCAAATTCTAATACATCCTTCTAGAATTCCACATTAAAGATGAATTACGTATTTCCATCTTGTTCTCCATGTCTGTTGATCTGTTTTTTAAATATTTCCCATTCTTGGTTCTCTTTGTGATATATTTTAGGTATTTTTTTCAGGTCTTTCTTTTAACTAATTCCTTTGTTGTTGTTTTTTGTTCCATTCTACTACTAAACAAGTCCATTTACTCTTTTCTTTCAAGAATTATACTTTTTTTTTGTTGTTCTTTTCCATGTCATTCTGGTTTTATGTCTTTTTTTTTTTTAAGAATTGTGTTTCTTATTTTTAGAATTTCTCTTTTGTTCTTTTCCATGTCTTTCTGGTCAATATTGATAGTTCCAGACTTTCTTATTATTCCTCTGTATACTCTTTTATTTATCTTATGTATTTGTTAAATGGACTATTTTTGCAGTTTTGATTGTAAACTTTGTTCTCTTGGCTGATCCTTTTTCCTGGTCCCTTTCTTCCTCATGTATTATGTGTAGTTGTTTTTTGTTGTTTTAAGTTGTGGCTAATATTCCTATGCCTATGCTTTCAAAGTCCATTAAACAAGCAAATGTTCAATTTGTGGCTTCCAGAGAAGATTTTATTTGAAAGGCATATTCGAGTCCTACCAACCTTAAGGCATTTTTATTGTTATTTGTTATTATTTAATAACAAATAAACAAATTTGTTATTATGAAAAATTTCAAATATACATAAAAAAGTAGAATAGTAGAATAACTAAAAGTACTTATCACTCCACATCAGTAATTATCTACTTGTGGCCAATATTGTATCATCTGAGCCTCCATCTTCTCAACAGTCTTTAAAATACTTTGAAGTAAGTCTAGAAAGCATGCCATAATATCCAGAAGTTTTAAGAAATATATATTTCTAAAGGTCTCTTTTTAAGAACATGACCACTATACCATCATCAGCTAAAAAATTAACAAAATTCCTTAATATCATCAAATATGTGGCCAATATTAATTTTTTAAAAGCATCATAATTATATAATAAGCTTTCAATATTTAATTTATTTAAATCAGGATCCAGATAAAGTTTGCATATTATCATTTTAAATCCTAATCATTTAAAATCTTTTATAAACTTTTAATCTATAGATTTTTCCCTATGTCTGTCTGGTTTTTGTTTCTTCATTTTCCCATGGAATTTATTTGTTGAGAGCACGCAAGTTGGTTGTTATTCTCTTTATCTTTTGCTGTACAACAAGCCACCTGACAGCTTAGTTAAAAGACCAAAAAGCCAATGTGTTGTCCTCTCTTGTGTTTCTTTGAGTGAACTGAGCCCTGTAGGATGGCTCTTGCTCAAAGTCTGCATTGTAGTCGAGGTAGCAGCATGAACTGGTGTCATCCGAAAGTTTGACTGGGCTGACTGTACAAGATGGCTCTGCCACTCACTCAGGACTCACAGTCTGACACCTTGATGTTTCTTAGATGTCTGCCTCTGTCTCTCTATGTATATTTTATACACATACATATATCTGTATGTGATATAAGTGTGTGTTCCCCCCAGCCACTCCCACTACGTGGCATCCCACCCTGCAGGGCCTTTCCATGTGTGCAGAGCTTCTCACACTGCAGTACCTGGGTTATGTGCACTTGTGTTACTTGGCAACTGACTTCCAAGGATTAAGAAGGGGAAGAAGCTAGGCATTTTAATGTTTACACCTGCACCCGGCACAGCTTTGCTGCTTTACTTTTCCATAGTCAACTGGTCAAATAGTCCCAGGGGCAGCCTCCATTCTGGGAGGCAGGGAAAGAATCCATCTCAATATGGGGGAATGGCAAGTTCACATTGTAGGCAAGCATATGAGAGAGGAGGTATGCCTCAGCCATTTTGGGAAAGTAAAATCTGCCACATTTGTGCTGAAAAATTTTGTTATAGTCTAGATCTTGGTGACTGTTTCCTCCTCTAGTCTTCTGTATTTCCTGTAAATCATTGGATTTAGAAGCTTAATGAGATATAGGATTGATATTATATATCCATCATCAGTGTATCTACCTATAGCAGTGTGTGTGTGTGTGTGTGTGAGAGAGAGAGAGAGAGAGAGTGTGTGTGTGTGTGTGTGTGTGAGAGAGAGAGAGAGAGAGAGAGAGAGAGAGAGAGAGACATACACTAAGGCCAGGTCCCTTTTAAACTATAATTTTGGCTTGGGGTTTCCTAGGTCACTGATGTAGTATG